AAGTGGTTAACTAGTAAAATGTTTATCAGGATATCAGCAACATTTTACTAGTTAGCTAATTTTTGATATCTTTCACAGAAAATGAGATATATAGGCTCAAAGTGGACGATCCGGGTGTCGTTCTATTAGAGGTTTTACGGTATAAGAAAAAAGCAGCGAAACCAAAACATGCTGTTAAAAGAAATGCGAGAGTATGAAAGAATAACTTGAAAAAAGAACATAATACAGAATGACATATTGACCCACTAGTCAGGAAAAAATATTGAATCTGAAAATAAATATAACCATTGTCAACTGAATTGCAACATTTATTGAATATAGGAGTCATTTGTCATGATTGTTCTGAAACTGGAAACTGAATTTCAAATTTCCATCATCCGTTGGTCCTGGATACCAGAAGATGTCAAAGCTGGGAGGGTGGAATTGACTTGTAACTGCGATGTCTTTGATGAATCTGAAGTACAAAGTTACATAAGATTCTGAATTTCGACTTACTTCTTAGTTTCATTGAGTCTTGGAGTTTGAGTAATGGTTACATGTCCTCCGTCTGGGATCGTAGCTTTCAAGTGAACAATGACACTGTAGTTACAAGGAATATTGATCTGGGAAACATGTGCTGATGGAAAAAAGTACAAATAGAAAAACTTACAAGCCACGCACAAGCAGAATTTGAGGGGAATTGAGTGAAGGCGTTCTTAGGGAACGTATAGAATGTATCGGTGTTGATAGGGTATTTTGGAGTGATGGTTTGGTGTTCTGGGCATTCTGGAAACAAAAACTAGGTGTATCTATTCAAGATTCACAGTTTTACCATAAATGGATTTCTGAATGCTGCCAAGTGTGAAAGTGACGAACAGAAAAATCAGTATAAACGTTTTCATGGGTATTCACTCAACACCAAAACTATGGTGATATTTATAGGTACAGGGTGCGGCAAAAGTTCTGCAACCCACAGTTTGACGGAAGCTGGCGCGCGCTGACGCACTTTTCATGTTTTGATTTTTTGTTTATATTCTTCCCCATCTCTTTATCAGTAGATTTGAAAAGTTTCGTGCTCATATCTAAATTTGTACGAAAATGACACTACTTTCTGTACACCTTATTGGGTTTTTTTCTGTTTTTAGTAGATCCATGAGAGAAAGCAGGCCAGGGATACTCATTCTAGTGAAAATTATGATGCCTATGTCATCGTGCTATAATGCTCGCAAAATTAGACTACTCAGAAAGATGTAGAACCTGCTCACACGGAAAAACATGTTGAGCAGGAAGCGCCAAAATCAAATGTTCCAACTTGACCCCCAAAAAAGGATGGCCTGTCTCGTGTCAGATCACAATACAATGGGAATTTCGGTGCGGGGAACTTCTTAAGCGCATGCTTAAGTTTGTTTTTACAAGATTTTGGGTGCACTTGAAATGTTTTTCCGGCGGAATGAACAATTTTCCCGCAAACCACCCCCATAGGTGCTACCCAAAGAGATGGAGCCCCGCGGTCAGAAACATAACTGCCAGAAACGAACAACTATAACTTAAATTTGTTACAAATCTCTTCGATAAAGTCCTGTTAAAATTTGACCCGGATTGGACTATTTTCCAAGTAGGTTATGGCGTCTTCTCTTGGTTGCAGAACTTTTCCCGCACCCTGTAGAGATCAAACATTCAAGTGAGAAAAAAATACAAAAGCGTATAGAAATATGAATAAGCCTGAGAAGAAACAACGTCATGTTTTTGCAAAGGAAATTTCGGAGCAAAAGGGGAAAAGGGACTTAGAAAATTAAGAGGATTTATTCTGGAGCTTCTGTCATGTACGAACTGTATGCAAACATACATAATTACAAAGAAAAAGCTCTTTTCAAGTAGTTCCGCGCACTTTCTGGTTATCTCTTCTTCCCTTTTCTCATCGTTTCGTCTTGTCGTTTTGTATGATTCTTCTCTTCCCAGTCAAAAAGAAGCAAAGTTTTAATACTCATTTTCGTTTCTCTTGAAAATTAATGGTTCTTCTTTTTCCTTTTTCTTCGTTTTTTTCTCTCTAGTATTCTTGACATTAAACCATCTCGTCACTATTATTCGCTCTATCATATTCTCACTTTTCTCTCTTCAATTTCTCATTGGACAGCAGCACCCACTTATCAAGAACATCATACATAAATCAGATGTTAATTACAGGACATTGAATAGGGGAAGATTTGGCAAATATGTCGTTTCTCTTTTCCTTGTTCTTCTTCTTTTAAACGGGTTTATCATTTATCCTAGGAAAATGCTTCTCTTTTTTACTTTTCCCAAATTCACTGATACCACCGTT